GCTGGGTCTTTTCCAGCAAGATCCACTCACGCACCACGCGCTCCATGATGTGCTGCTGGAACATCCGATCATATGTTCTCCTTTACTGGCTCCTGGGATGACGGGAGAAATAAGAGATATTGAACATGTATAGAGATGAGAGAGAGGAGGAACACTCCGGCCAGGGGGTGCGGTAATCATGGTTTCTTAATTAGACTAGCTTGCTTTGTTAATGCATGTTATACAAGTATTAATGTGCGTTGCCAGTTTTATATGTGTACACCTTATTTAAACTGCTGTTCTTTAATACAGCACAATACTTAATCCTACCTGTTTTCTTTTGAAATGTTTTAAATGCATAACTTGTTACTATCTTATGAAATTCAATGGAAGCTGAGTTGTTCGGATAGAGCTGCTAACTATTTAAACGTCTACTTAAAATTATCGATATATAATTAAAATTTTATTAATATATTTATACTCTCTCTCTCTCTCTCTCTCTCTCTAGCTTAAGGTAATGCTTTTGAGTCTGCTTTTGTTATTTTATAGTATCCATAATCTGAAATATCTTATGGCGTCTTGGGTGTGACTATCAAGAAATGACATAGTATCTGATTTGGAGAACATTTTCATATTTTCTGACATTTTATACAGTAGAGCAAATGATAAAAAATCTAATACTTAGTCTACCCTTATTGATATAAACATAGTGGACATAATAATTGAGAAGTATATCCTCTCTGTGTGGGGGTTGCTGACATTAAAAATGTTTGGGTTACAGCACAACAGCAACAACAGAAGGTTTGTGATCATAACATCAGTGGCTGAAGCTCAGATTGGATGAAAGCACTTGACTGAAACAACTTCCTCCCATTGCACAATGGGACGTAATGTAAATGAAGCTCTCAGTTCCATAGAAAAAGAATGCAGTCTTACCTGACTGAATAAAGTCATGTTCCTAAAAATACACCAGGCAGGTTGAATGATTAAGTCAATAGTTACCTAAGATGTGCTTGCAGATGGCAAAAGGGGATTTGGATTTTCTGAAGGAGAGGAATATGTGTTCAGCATGCTGCCTCTGTTCTGTGCTGACCATGGACGGCGGTGCCTGCAAAACACACACAAAGAATTAGCAAACACTTTTCAAGTTTATATTTGTGTTTTTAAAGATTTTGTTGTGGAATCTATTTATCCTTGATAATGTCACCAACAATGCTCAATATGATAAGGCTCACTTTTTCCACTTTATTTTGTCAAATTAATAAATCCAGATGTGGCACACAAGTGGTTCGCTAAAGACTATAAAGAGTGCTACTCCTGTCACACCCATATATTATTATTGTACGCATACTTTAACTTTACATAAGAAGTACAAACAAGAGTCAATAGCAGAAAGTCCAAATACGCTATGATCAATAAAAGAGAGAATGCACAACACACAGACACACACTTTTATTGAGGAGTGTCGCCATGATACAGCTCAGCAAGAAAGTCACATTCCAGGCTTAATTGCAGTGAAAGCAGCTCTGCGGCTGAAGGCAGCAGAGGAAAGAAAGACCCTTTTATCTAAAAGCACACACACACACACAGACACACACACACACACACACACACACTTCAAGCCACGTAACATACTATGATAATGCAGAGACACAAAACGCCATGACTTATTAGAATTAAAAATCTAAATAATCTAAATCTCAATAACATGGAATATTTACCTTGATGAAGTTCTTAAGCTGCACTGATGAATGTTCTTATATTAAGAATGGAAAAGGTTACTGTGTGCTATGTATATGTACTATGTGACAAAGAGATTCATCAACTGACTCTGAGGCTTCTAACGGAAGTGTTTTAGGTTTTGAAGTTTACAGCCCACAACTTTACTGTTTTTGCTCAATCTCATCTCATCTGTATCATCTTCAGCCATAACAAGCAGTCGTTCACAACAAAAAGGCTCTGGTTAACCCACTGTACACCACTTGTCCAGCACCACAAAAAGCAGACAAAGACACGAGCTAGCGAGCATAGTTGAGCATTTAGCAGCTGAAGAGAGAGATATTTTGTTCAGGATGCAGTGGGGAGCAAACCACAGCTGAAAGGAGAGTGGCCAGACACTCACTCTAAATGAATGATAATGTTGC